CATAGCTTATGCAAAATTGTGAACCTAGGTATCTTGTATTCTGGTGCTTTTCGAGCTACTTGCTTTACACTTGGGCGTCCTGTCGCCTTGCGATGTCCGCTTCGCGTCATGGCACGAAATCCCGCGCAATGAGTGTCAATATTGTCTCCTAAACTTGATAATTATTATTTGTGAGGTTCTATTGTCTACTTGAGGTTCTTCCATAATTGCATGAATCAAAATATTATTTGATGGAGTTTGAGAGAGTTCGGCCCTAACAAATCAGCTACCGTATGCCGTATAGTCAGTGTGCATTGAAGCCTCAGCATGTCCGTTGTGGTATCCTATAGTTTACCTAACGCGAAGTCACAATAAACAATTGTTTACTGACGTTCAACATAGACCGGGGAACCGACAAATTGAAAGGTGATTCGATTGGATAGTCCGACAAATATTGTGTTGGGATTGGCCAAGCGACAAGATCTTTGAATAGTGATAATTGATTGGTCGATACACCTGTCGGGGGGACAACAAAACTTGAACATTGCACATGTACAGCCATCTATTGGACGAGAAGACTCGGCTAGTGAATCGATTGGATAAAAATATATGGAGACGTTTCGCTGCAATGGAACAACTGCATCATTCAGCAAAATGAGCGCCCCCACTGTGCCGACCAAAGCCACCATCCAAGGATCGTATCGATCCACCTCGACCTTGCGAACGTACCAAACGTACCAACGGCAGTTTGTTCAGTACTGCAAGCAACTGCCCGGTGTGGACCCGCAGACAGCCACACCTAGCGTCAGCACGGGTTTCTTCCACCGACAGGTAATTTGTCTGGTTATGTTTTTTATTGTGTACCTTATATTTGATTTGATTATAGTCTTATTTCTTTTGAAATCTTTGCCACAAATTTATTGGTCAAAATCGTCAATTATTCTTGTATGACCGTTCGAAATAATTTAGGAATTACGCTCACAGCGTGCGCCGAGGAGAAAGCTTCTACAGTAGTGCCCCGCGATAGTGAACCCAATAAAACATTATACCCCCACAAAATTTATATGCATGTGAGGCAACCAGCAATAAAATTGTAGAGGCCTTTCAAATTTTGAAACAGACACAAACCACCTGACGATCAAATGCCATCACCAACTTCCCGGATTCGGCTGACAATCGAGCAGAAGAGGGCTCTGGTGGAATACCACGTGGCAAATCCACATGTCAAAGGGCTCGCGCTGCGCCAATGGGCACGCAAATCGTTCAACCTCTCACGCGGGCTGCGCCAATGGGCACGCAAATCGTTCAACCTCTCACGCGGTCGCGTGCATTGATCCCAAGTCATCAATGCACGCGACCCTCCCCCAAAACCTGTTGCGCGTGAACACTGCCAACCATGCTGCCACCTCCACCGGAATGAATGTGCAAGAACTCTGTGATGCAATCGTCAGTGGACTTCGGAGTGTGGTTCCCATGTTATCTGTTGCCGACCCTGTGAGTGTCGTTGAGTTCGCGCGCGCGTCATCGAGCCCTGCGGCCACGAAACCCCAACGCCAAACAACCCTCAACGCATTTGTTTCTCATGCGACGATACCTACTGCGCGATCAGCAAAGGATGCCTGGGATATATGGTTTAGTTGGGACTGTTTCAGTCTTTGCGGTCCTTCACGAAACAAATGATCCGCGCCGACCGACGCAAGTACTGGGAACGCTTGACACTCTCCCACGCCTTTTCGAAGTATGCTAGCTTTGATATGTTTGAGTCATCTTACGAGGGACATACGAGCTCTTACAACAGTACCTTGAGCGCAGTTCGCAAGCGAAAGCACGAAGGACGACTATAATGTCTTTTGTTGAATGAGCAGTCCACATAAATCAATTTCCTTAACCAATCAGACTGATTGGTTAAGGAAATTCGCGTCGTTGCAGGTACTTTGTCACGCTCTGCCACTTGGTGAGGAGCGGAATAGAGCGCTCCAAGCGTTTCAGCATCGACTTCGACGGCAGCTTCAGCTTTGCGCGCTTGGGCATTCTTTGCAGCGACGGCAGCAGCTTTT